TGGCGAAGCGGTGGTCAATGTACGTTCAGTGAAATCTATCGAATTTTCATTGATACCGCTTTTGTTTTCCAAGCTTTGTTTGCTAGGATCGATTGCCACGTAACTGGAACTGCCAAGTCCACCGAGGGTGACGGTTCCGGTAATTAGTAAATCGTACCACAAAGGAAAACTAAAATTTGGACTAACGTGCGACGCATATTCCTCGTTGGAGTTCGCATATCCGCACTCCATGGAATTGTTGTTCAATCTCAATACAATTGATGTCCAATTGCCGTCGGGTTCGGCCTTGCCGAATGTTAGTATCCCTTGATTTTGCATGTCCAAACGCCAAGACACTGTGATCTTGTCCTTGTAAACAGAAACGATGAAATGTTGATCGCCAATGCGAGGCGCGATATGCATCAACGTGCCACCGGTGTTCGACCGATATGTAATTTGAATCGTGTCGATCGTTGAATCCGTGACGTTTTTCTCTTCGACCTGATTATAAACGTAGGTGAAAGAAGTTGTCATCCCGTTGAAAGTAGCATTAGCTATGCACTCGTAACCGTCGTCTAAATTCTGGCACTTTGATCCGGCGGGGCAGTCCTGCAGCTGACAAAACTCCATCTCTTGGCAAGTTTTGCCAGTGTAGCCTCGTGGACACTGACACCAGAAATCGTTCCACGTAACGTGACAAGTGCCGTTGTGGTTGCACGGGTTGCTCACGCACACGTTGTCGGATACTACACCCATCAGGATTTTGTCGTAATCGAAAGTTACGTTGCCAAATTGTATCGGAGTGGGAATATCATTTGCCTAAAAATAACGAATAATTTTATTATTGTTACTACATTATTACTATAACATCATTAGAAGTGGAGATAGCTCAGTAGAGCATCAGACTTTTAATCAGAATTCGAACCTCTATTCAGGTGGAAAAAAAGATATTGTCCTTTAGGACAACAGCACGAGGAGAGCTCTGTGTGTATAAAAAGATCCCAGAGTTCTCTCAACGTGCGGAGGACGGTTTTAGTCGGTAAAAATCCGACACTACCTGGGTCTTCCCTTAAAAGACTC